GTTTTATTATAAGTTTAACTTGCAAGTAGTCACGAAAATGGCGGCTCCGCGCTCACCCCAGACCCGTTGTCCTATCTCTTACAAATAGAGGGCTCTGGCACCAAACGCATTAAAGACAAAAGAACCATTGTCAAATGAAGATTTACTGAAGTCCTTTTGATATCTAAGCCTCTAATAATCAATTGTAAATGCAAGTGTCAATGCCTAAATGATATATACATTAAACTTGTGTTAGTGGAAGTTCAAAAGAATTCTATAACTGCATTATATGCGATCTTTGAAAGGTATTATTTTTCTTAGGAAATGCAGGAGATTCATTATCACTTTATCATAAAGGCATGGCGTTTTCAACCAAAGATTCAGATAATGATAAGGATCGGGGAGGAAGCTGTGCCACACACTTCAAAGGTGCTTGGTGGTATGAGCATTGTTATACTTCCAACCTGAATGGACAATACTATAGTGGACCATACAATTCAAAGGTGTGAATTGGTATCATTGGAAACGTATTAACTCCTTAAAGTTTACTGAGATGAAAATAAAACCATAAAGAATTTCCAAAGACTGTGATGTTAAAAATTTGATCATTATTTCTAATGAAACTTTCAACATATAATAAAAACATTTTAGCTTTTATGTCTTTTAAAAGAACCTTTATAATCATTATCATTTAAAAAAGCGTTGAAAAATTGTTAAAAATGCTGTGGTGAAATGATATTTTCCCTAAAACTTAGAGCTGATTTAGGTAATTATGTGATTCTAATGTCACGTCTTTTCACTCAATTCTTTTAATGACATGTTTCTCTGTAAGTAGCTAATTTTATCTTTTCGCCAAGTTCCACGCAGTCTTGGTGTATCATGTATGTTATGCAATTATCTTACATCATTATTCACTATGTAAGCAATGTTGCTTTGGATTGGTCAACTTCCTGCAAATAATTCTAGATATCTGTAGGTAAGACGTCTATTTACAAATAACAGTTTGTCATTAAAAGCCGGTTTTGGAAAAAATTCATATTATTACCCGTGTCGCATGTTCTCAATCGTCTGAAGCAAGACTTCTCAAATTTAGAACGTCGCATGTATGTGATGTAGGAGATCCTCAAAGCGTTCTTGTTGACGCCATATGTGATTTACATATGCACCAATCTATATATCGTCAACACACGACATGCACACGACACACGTGTAACTTATCAACATGGAGGCAACTGGAATACAGTATGAAGTATTAATTGACTTGCAAAAAGCTATCTTGAAGTCTTATTACGATCAGGGAATGAAAACAACGGCAAAGGAGAAACATGAAACAATACAAAAAGCAGGTGATGAGACAAGAACTACATTTGAAAAAGTTAAAGTGAGTGAGTATTTCTACCTACTTTTTACTTGGAAGGGCAGGCTACTGCAGTACTCTCAGAATTGTGCGCACTAAAATGTCGTAATCCAAATCTGTGACCATAACCTATTTCTAGTTTGAAGTATTAGCATACATATGTTTATGTTAAAGGTATTGTTGCCACTAAAGGCCTAGGCGGGAAGCGGATTCTCAGTATAAATATTAGAGCCCAACAAATAATTTTAAAAATCGTCATAAACAATTTGCTTTTATGAAAGGTACTGAAATTTGTCATCATGCAGTAAATGTAGTATTTGCGTAACATTTCCTATATAGGTGGAGGTTTGCTCGTATGTATTGTGCTCATTATGTACAAGTTTGATACATACGCATAAGACATTATTGCTGACTAACATCTGTTCTAAACAAATCACATGGAATGAACTTAGTGCAAAAGACCATGCATTTACACAAATGTTTGTAAAGAAATAACGCAACTATTTGCAAAAGTTGATGAAGTGGTGGTGCACATTTCTAAATTGTTCGATGTAGAATGTTCCTTAGAAGATATGGTATTTTAAAAATAGCAAATGGTGTTTAGGATACAATACCAAGGTACGACAATACAACAAAGAAAAAGGCAATTCAGTCAGGTGATGTAAATCTAACGGTAAACAACACTATTTAACTTATCATCTACTTACGAGATAACAAATATTGATCGAGGATTTATAACTTTGAAGAATTGAAAACATTGCCCAAAAAAGAAATGAGAAAGAAGAGACAATCTATAGAAGAAAAGGAAAACAAAGCTGAATGATGTTTCAGGAATATTTTTAAAACATAAGTCAAATTAAAACATTTATTCGCAGAAAGACAAAACCGACACCAATATGTAAGCACTTGCGTAGAATGGCTAAATAAGTACACGAATAGACGATGTGATAAAAGAGAATTGTTTTCAAAAGTTATGTATTAATTGCATCAGTTATAACTTGACAAGCCCTAGGTATACCTAAAACTGACCTAAATGATGTCAGTAAACCCTAAACTGACTTAACTGAACCTTGAATAAACGAGAACTACGTCATAGAAACCTAAAAAAAATGAATTTTAAAATTTATCTTGCACTATATTAATATAAGAGGACGATTGTTATAAAATTTACCTGTCAGCTTCGTCAATAACTTTTCAATCTCGTCTAACGTGATTTCATTCGTTTCATTATAAGCTTGTAAATACGTACGGACGAAAATACCTGAAATATCGAAGAGTTTAGGTGATATAAAACAGCAAACCTTTGGGATGATTTCGAGGCGGATAAAAAGCAACTTTGTGCAAATTTTATAAGATTGTAAAAACACAAATATTTGCGTGATTTTCGACCTGGAATACATAATACCTATAGAGGGAAAATATAGATGGCAAAACACCGAGGGAAAATATAGATACGGTAAAACACCGAGGAAAAATATATATACGGCAAACACCGAGGGAAAAAGCTATACGGCAAAACACCGAGGGAAAAAGCTATACGGCAAAACACCGAGGGAAAAAGCTATACGGCAAACGCTGTATAAGCGCTAGATTTTGCACTCAAACGCTGTTAGGAAATCATACATCTTCATCATCAACTGCAAGAGAATGAGAAAGTACATTTTGAACCACACTAGACTCAGTGGTCGAAACATAATTCATAAAGGAACTCAGGTACATATCTTCTGAGACATAATCTTCGAAAAAAGACAGGAGCACAAGAAAACGCGAGAAATTTTGATTCGAAAATAGCGTTCTTGAGTGTAACCTTTCACAAGATTTCTAGCTATCACTTGCCACTTACCCGCGAAACGTCATGACGAATCACTGGGACTCGTTCATCCTCGCCTGACATGAAACTATTTCATTCCAAAACAGAGAAAATGCATCCCTGACAACGCCGACTCCTTCGCCCTTTTCATCAACACCTCTGGAATCTATTATCTTCACATCCACACACTTCTTTCAAAATATCATCTTTTCAAAATAGTGCAGCAAGTCAGCTTACATTACAACGATGAATAAGCAACACTTTCGCTCTATAACCTCATTTGCCATACTTTCTGGGACAAAAGTAGCCCATAGTTAAGTAGAGGTTGGAACCCACCCTACATAGACATATTCCAATCTCCAATTTGGTAACCCAATTTCTACATTTGGGTTCAAAATTTCCCTACCCACCCTACATACGAGCCGAAAAAAATTCGTTTTTTCTCTACGGGTGCTGATTTTGTGACTTAGCTGGCCCTCTATGCATACAACACCATAAAGTCTATGTATTCACTAATATTGTCACCAAGCAGCTCACCAACTTACAATAACATGGTACACCAAATTAGAGATATTTTGGTCCCTATAGGGAAAATATGAAGATAGATGATGATAACAACATGGGTAAATATTGAGTAACGTTGAACTTTGAAGCATTAACTTTTTATCATCATAGATGCATTTCATCTATTTTTAATTCTTCTAATAGGGAAAATCTCAACCCACCCCTACATAGACATACCCACCTAGAAATTCAAAATTTTTCGACCCACCTCTTCTAGAAGGCATTTTTGAAAATTCCAAGACTCTAAATTCTAAGGGTAGAACAAAATTTCCTCAGAACTTTCACCTGCAATGTACAACACTTAATATACTAAAGATGGGTGACAAGCCACATCATTTTCGACTGTTCTATTTTCAAATTCCATTCATCCACATTCTTTGAATGAATTCACAATGATATTTTGCACGATTATCACAATACCCAGTCATCATTTCATGAAATATTACTTGAACATCAAATTAGTGGATATTTTTCTTCTGTAATTTGTAACTAGAACATCTTTTTCCTAAAAAGACTGACAAGTACAAGTAGACAATACAGTACTCACAAACCTTGGAAAGTATTTATCTCAAAAGCATCACAATTTTGGAGGTTCTCTAGTGCACGTGGTGTTAAAGTTGCATCATCAATGGATGACAGTCCAACCAAAGTTGTGGAATGTGATTCTTCTCCAAGCTGTGGTTCTGTGCACAATGATTCATTTTGAGTTGTTGTTAGTCTGATTTCTTCCAAATCTAATTGTTCTTCCACAACATCATCAACTAATTCATTAGCAACTACAAAACAAATATTTGTATTTTTATCAAATATGTAACTTATTTAAATAAAGATTGTTGCATAATACACTTTTGCTGATTTCCTTATGCACTCATATTGGAATTCTCAAGTATAACATCTGAATGAATGTTGTCTTTTACAGTATTAATGTGTAATATTTAATATTAGCTCCTTATAAAGTAAGTGTTTAATTTTATTTGTATCATGATAGTTTCATAAAATTAACCAAATGGTGCAAAAATTATTATATACTTGACCTTACAGAATTACTTTGATTATTAAATGCTCATAATTAGGTTTAATCAACATTAATAAATTGCCTACACATTAACAAAGTGTTTTAATAATTAATAGAAAACCTCCTCACTTTCATAATCCAAAGTCTTGCAAACATACAAATTGACACTACTGCATGGCCTGCCAAGGGACTCCTTGTACTTTTCTACAGAAAATGTTTCTGTTGTGCCTGGTAAATATAAACTCCATATCTGGGTACAACAAAACCCATTCGAACTTTCATCATGGAGTTGCTTATTGTGAGGTAGTTGCTTGTCCACCCTAGCAGTTTTTATGACAACATGAGAATCACAAATTTTTTACATCAATAGGAAAAAGTGAGCTTCGCTTACTTCAAATGATTCCCATCCAGCTCAATAATTCCAATGTTCATCTGGGGTGGAAAAAATATCCAGTTACAAGGTGTTCATGACCTGCCATCACAAAATGTGTGATGAAGAATGAAAAAATAATTAGACATTTTAATGGAAAATACTATTCAATCCTTCTCCATGAAAACCTGAGCCTGATTTTTAAAGCATGCAACAAAAGTATTATTGTGTTGATTCGAATGACTGCAAAAACAACAAATTTCCTATAGCAGCATTTTATATTTCAGCTTAAATAGGTGGGAATTACATAAGTAATATCAACATAAAAACAAGCATTGAATATAATTATTCACTACCATCACCCACCCTTCAAATAATTATTGACATGACCTATTTGCAGAGGTAGTAATAATCACAAACCTTGACAGTCTCATTTTCTTCCCTCTTTTGTGGAGACAAAACGATCTTGACGCTTCCTTGTCTCAACAGTGGCAAATGAAATATCTGCCAAATACTTTAAAAGTCAAAGTTTGGTGGCACGAGGATCAGTAGAAGGCCCAGCTGATGTTGATGGATCACTGTTCCGCAAGGTCTTTGATTCGTCAGACTTTCGAAGATCCATCCCACAGTTAGCACAAATAATTACCCCTTGTATTTAGTGAACTCTGCATACTGTACATAACATGGTGTTCAAGTTCACACTACCAACAGCCGGGAAAGATAATACGAACATATACATGAACGCTAAATGTAATAAATACTTCACGAATGTTATGTATTTATCTTACTTTCTAAAACGAAAATATAAGAATATGACAATATTCTGCACTTCGGCAACTTTGTAAATTCAGAACACATTTGGCTGGCAAATTAACCGGATATGAATTTGCATATTAAATTTGTGTTTGTGTATTTGAATTTGTGTTTGTGTGTTGCACCTCTGGGCCACGGTAAATTACTGCTAGTAATACAGTATTTTGAGATATTGCATTATTTTTTATGGATAAGTGTGTAATAACTGATTGTTGATTTACTAAATGTCATTACATATCACAGAACTGAGGATTACGAAGCAAGAAGAAATAAGCCTTACGTCGTAATTTTACGAAATTTGATTATGTATGGTGTGTTACAGCTTGAACTGCTTTGATATAAGGTTCAATTAATTGATCATATGAGAATTCCAAAGCTTGTTTTTCTAATCGAAGATGATTTCTCATTATGTTGTGAAATGGGTCAATTTACAAACTTCTCAATTCTTAGCCACTTCCACACTAAAACAAACAACTACACCAAATCACACAAACTCTTACGATTTTCCATGTTGTATTTGTATTTTTAGTTCATCATTTAAAAATAAAGTAATTAGAATTAGGATATTCACTGAAACAGCTGAGTATATTACATATTTGGTAATGAATTGTACAAATGTACCCTACTTCTGTAGCTCAAAGTAGAACATTACTTCTAGACTTGTCAATGATATTTTAATTGTAGGTTTGGTTTATAAGATCACAGAGGCATATCTCCATAATTTCAGCTATTTGGCCTTTTAATGTATAATACAACGGTTGATGCCTTCTGATATATATTAAAAATTGCTGGCTTTCTGATGTATAGAAGTGCTAGCTTTGATATATATGGCCTACTGGCACAATTTTGAAATTCAACTGTGGCTGAGCCCTCCAACACACCCTAACTGGATCACAAACACAAATAAAGGTACATTATTCAACACATATATTTAACCTAGTTCTAAATTAAAGATTGATCAAACTCCTATGCTGCATAAAAAGACTACAAAATGGTAGTATTTTATAGCAAACAGACTGTTCTTCAACAACAGAATTTTTTGTTATAGAAATAATATATTCATTTTAAAGAAATGTTTCACCAAATTTTCAGCAGAATCCTAACAAACTTATTAGAAATAAACTTTAAAACTTTATAAAGTGTTAGGCGAAATAACTTCAGCAGCGTAAATTGTTTTAAGAATGGTCAACGGTGAAATACAGCTTGTAATCAATTTTACTGCATCAAAAGTATACACAAAATATAGCTATATTTGAAAATGATCTGTACTGAGTGCCACGTTTTAAAGGTTTCTGTAAGTCGTGCATATAAATTAATTACTTAATTCAATTGAGTGCAGAATATCAAAAGAAGGATACATATCACTTGTAGACAGGAATACAGTTGGGTTGAGTTTTAGGCATAGAAATTTATATAATTTGTAAATTTGTTATGTTTTATACAACAAAATATCAAATAAGTAAACAACAGGATGTAATCAACTCATTCATAATTCCACTCTATTGATAAAAAGTATGAGCTGTAACGATGCCTTTTAACTATATGACCGAAGCAAAAGCTGGTGTATTTTTATTTACACTACTACAATTTAGAAGGCGCCAATACAGGTACATCCTGGGTCAAAAGGCCCGACAATTTATATCTTTACATCTATCTCCTCATAAGGAACAAAACAAGGTTATAATTTGAAGGACCTAAGAGTAGTTTCATAAAAATTGGTAATCACATGTAAAACGTTCATTGCAATTTATGTCCATATAGATTTTCACTGAGGTTTGATATGTCGGTGTCTGGTCGTGCCTGATTGGTTTCTATACTGACATTTGTGGACGTGTTGCGTAGAGAACTTACTGCACCGGTTGCTCATTTGGGTCTCGGACTCAGATTGTTCATTTTCTTCTTCCTCAGTACTTCTGTATCAATCTTTCCCTTTCTTTAGTGGACGCCAGATGTCTTCTGTTCCGTCTGCATATTTAGCCTTCCGAAATAACCTGTACGACGTGGGTGCAAACTTCTGTTACACACTTCTTTCCTTCATGTCCTGCACGTCTGGTCTGGTCGTATAAATTCTGTATCTCCTGGTTGAGATCTATTAATGGTTTGCTGCCACGGCTGTAATATTTCGCTTGTTTTTCTTTGTTTGTCAACAATTTCGATCGATTTATTTTGGCTAATATTTCGTTGCCGTAGGGAGAAGCTTTTGTTCACAATGCCTACTATATATATGTACGTGGATAAAAGTCCAGTTTTACATATCAGTGGCTTAATTATCCTCTACCAATAGCAAAATAAATAAAACAACATTACAAACCGAATCAAAATTATAATTGATAAAGAAAGGTAATCACATTTGCTGAAACAGTTTATCGTTTCTTGGTGGATTAAAGTCATCTCCAATCGTTAGGAATGAAATGAGTAATTTAGAGCAAAAATCTTCAGCGTCGTTCTCGCTGACGAAAGCGCGTCATAAAGAAAGCAATGATGCGCATGCGTAAATTTTATATTGCAGTACCCAGCCATTGTACCAAGCATGCTCGCTCTGCAATCAAAAGAAACGTTGTGAATATCAGTTGGACTAGTGTAGACGATTCTGCCAAAAGGTAACATCATGCAGCAGAAGAAAATATCTCAGTTTCAAAGTGGAATGATTTGTCAATCACTTTGAAAATACATGTTCTTATTAAACGTCTTGTAAATCTGTCGTGTTGCTTACAAAGGCCAAAAGAATCGATACAATACTGGCATATTCAACTGATTCAAGTTAGATCATCGATGTCAGGTTCTCTAAAAGATCACGTTTTAAATAAGGCATGAGCGTACATAAAAGAAAAACACATGTTGTAGACTAGTGAGAAATTAATCATTTTAAAAATATACAACAACTGAAATTATTTCAACTAATATCATTCTAACGTATATATTTATAAATGCCACGTTTGTGTTTATTACGGTTCCTTTGAAAATAAAGCATGAATTAATTATCAATTTCAATAGCTTGCTGAAACTAAAATAAGCACATCAACACAAGCTACTTTTAGAAATGGATAATTTCGGTCAATTTGAGAGGTAGGTTTATAGCTACATACCTTGATGGTAGCTGTTTCAAGTGATGTTTAGTTTTTAGTTCTCAAGTTTTAGTCCAGCTTTTCATCATCCTTATTTATGTCTATTTAAATTCATTGTTTTTATGTGAGTAACAGAGATTGACAGCAAGATTACATGAGCATGCTGGCGATATGAACTTAAATAAAAATTTTTTCATTTTGAACCACGTTCAAAAAATGTCCTGTACATTCATTATTTTAAAGTAGAAGTTTCAAAATTCATGTTGATAACGTTAATATGTTCGTAATTGCATGTGTTGTTCGTTATACAAACAATTTCTTCAATGTACGTGCAAAGTTGATATTAAGAATAAAATTGCAGTTTGAGATGATAATTTATATAATTTTATATTGGAGAAAGCTGGGGGAATTATTGCGAGTTTGATTCAATATAGCTGCAAGGTAAATTGTTTTAAGAATGGTCAACAGCGAAATAGAGCTTGTAATCAATTTTACTGCATCAAAATTATGTACACAAAATACAGCTATATTTGAAAATGATCTGTATTGAGTGCCACGTTTTAAAGGTTTCTTTGTAAGTTGCATATAAACTAATTATTTAATTCAATTGAGTGCAGAATATCAAAAGAAGGATACATATCACTTGTAGACAGGAATACAGTTGGGTTGAGTTTTAGGCATAGAAATTTATATAATTTGTAAATTTTATGTTTTCATAAACAAAATATCAAATAAGTAAAACAACAGGATGTGTAATCAACTCATTCATAATCTCCACTCATTGATGAAAAGTATGAGCTGTAACGATGCCTTAACTAATTTTATAAGAAACAAAGCTCATGACTATTTACATACACAATTTAGAAGGCGCTAGATCCACAACACAGTACATCCGGTCAAAAGGCCCGATAATTTATATCGTTACATCTATCTCCTCATAAGGAACAAACAAGGTTATAATTTTGAAGGACCTAAGAGTAGTTTTCATAAAATTGGTAATCACATGTAGAACGTTCTTCATAATGTACGTCCTATAGAAGATATTCTTTTTTCACTGAAGGGTTTGATGTGTCGGTGTCTGGTCGTGCCTGATTGGTTTCTTTATAACTGACATTTGTGACGGTCTTGCGTAGAGAACTTAACAGCAAAGATTGCTCATTTGGGTCTTCGGACTCAGATTGTTCATTTTCTTTCTCTAGTACAATCTGCAAAATTTCACCTTTTCCCTCTTTTAGTAAACGCCAGATGTCTTCTGTCCATCTGCATATTTAGCCTTCCGAAAATAAAATCTTTGTAATGACGTGGTGCAAACTCTGGTTACACATTCCCTTTCCTTCATGTCCTGCATGCGTATCTTGTCTGGTCGTATACTCACTGTATCTCCTGGGTTGAATTCCATTAATGGTAATGTTTTCACGGTTGTAATATTTCGTCTTGTTTTTTTCTTTTGTTTGTAAACAATTCCTTGACTCGATGGGTTATTGTTTTGGTTTCACCGCCTTGTTGTCTTAGAAGCTGCGTTTTGTCTCACACTGCCTACCGTATATGTAATGCATAGTCCAGTTTGCT